GAGACACGGCGAAGGAAGGACCTGGGAGACCGACGCCAAGGACCCCACCTTCGACTCCGGCGACGAAGGCCCTGGGCAGCCGAACAGGCGCCCACCTTCGATATCCAAAATTATTCAGGATACTAATTCGCCGGATTATTACAGGATGCAGATCACGCTCGAGCAGTTCGAGCAAGCGGCAGCCGCCCTCATCGGCTTGGACTTAGGTCCAGTCGTTGAAGGGGTGGTGCATGCCGCCCTGCACCTTCTCGGTGCAAAGAAGGAAGAGGAGGAGCAAGCACGGGTACGAGCTCACGAGAGCTCGTCATCCGTGCTCATAGAGGAGCTCCCGACGGAAGACGCTACCGCGATGCCGTCGACGAATCCCGGCATCGCGCGTAGTGATACGACATCGCTGCCCGGGCCCCCAGCGGGATCCATCCCTCTGAAGGCCCCAACATCGACCATCGGCACCCAGACGGAGGAGGGTGCCGCCGACGCGACCTGGCGCCCCAGGTTCACCAGCCAGACAACCCCGTCTGGCGAGCGGACCTGGGAGGACATAGTCGAGGGGTTGAGGGAAGTCGAGCAAGGCTGGGCGACCCTCAACGCCCTCCAACGGGCTGTGTACGCGTCGTACTCGGCGTACACAGCCGCGGGGCACCACCCGGACGATTTGGATCATTGGGATAAGGTGGTGTCCCGCCGTCGCCAGTTCGCGTCGGCAATCAGAGAGGTCCAGCAGCGCCACCGCCAGGCCATCGAGGGGCCGGCGAGTGGCAATTCCGCGGGCCTCCCCCAGCCTCCGATCACCGGAGCCAGAACAACGGCTCCAGAGGTCAGGTCGGAGGTCACATCGCGCCAGGACCCGCAAACGTGCGGGGTAAACCTGGTGGTGAATGTGGACGGGAGCCAGGGTGGTCAAGCAACGGGGCCCATCCACATCAATGTGGTATTAGGCCCCGCGGGTGAGGACCCCACGGTTGAAAGACAGTTGTGGTCCGCCCCGAACCGTAGAAACGGGTTGCCTCTGACCCCCAGAGAACGAGGCCTCCCACGGGGCACCCTTTCCCGCGCTCAGTGGGAAGGGTGCAACGTATGCCACTAGCCCGGGGTGACCCGCACGGACCGTTGCCCCCGCGTGCGACAACGCGCCGACCTGGTCCAAGAGAGGCTGGGGTGGAAGGCGCGCGGCCGTCCTCCACTGGATGACCGGGGCGAGGAGCTACCCGGGGGACCAGCCAGGTGATCTTCCCCTGCCCCCGTGGGCAGGGACACCGTCATGTTACCCGGAAAATAAATAGTGAAATGACATCACATGGACTATAACCCTTTATTATCCTTCCTCTTCTCCTCCTCGTAAGGGACAGCGCTAATGGCCCACTGAGCATGAAATATTTCCGAAATATTTCTGAAATATTTCATGAAAAATTAGGAATATTGATGAAACATTTCATGAAATATGGGAATGTCCGCTACACAAACCGTACTGAAATATTTCATGAAATATTACGGATATCTTGCAGGAAATATTACTGATATATTGCTTCAAATATTTCGGAAATATTTTCTGAAATATTACTGGTGTATTTCATGAAATATTCCTGCTAAGTTACGATATACATTCCTGGATCATTTCATGACATATTTCGGAAATATGGGAATGTCCGCCACACAAACCGTACTGAAATATTTCATGAAATATTACGGATATCTTACATGAAATATTACTGATATATTGCTTCAAATATTTCGGAAATATTTTCTGAAATATTACTGGTGTATATCATGAAATATTCCTGCTAAGTTACGATATACATTCCTGGATTATTTCATGAAATATTGCGGAAATATGGGAATGTCCGCCACACAAACCGCACTGAAATATTTCATGAAACATTACGGATATCTTACATGACATATTACTGATATATTGCTTCAAATATTTCGGAAATATTTTCTGAAATATTACTGGTGTATATCATGAAATATTCCTGCTAAGTTACGATATACATTCCTGGATTATTTCATGAAATATTTCGGAAATATGGGAATGTCCGCTACACAAACCGTACTGAAATATTTCATGAAATATTACGGATATCTTGCAGGAAATATTACTGATATATTGCTTCAAATATTTCGGAAATATTTTCTGAAATATTACTGGTGTATTTCATGAAATATTCCTGCTAAGTTACGATATACATTCCTGGATCATTTCATGACATATTTCGGAAATATGGGAATGTCCGCCACACAAACCGTACTGAAATATTTCATGAAATATTACGGATATCTTACATGAAATATTACTGATATATTGCTTCAAATATTTCGGAAATATTTTCTGAAATATTACTGGTGTATATCATGAAATATTCCTGCTAAGTTACGATATACATTCCTGGATTATTTCATGAAATATTGCGGAAATATGGGAATGTCCGCCACACAAACCGCACTGAAATATTTCATGAAACATTACGGATATCTTACATGACATATTACTGATATATTGCTTCAAATATTTCGGAAATATTTTCTGAAATATTACTGGTGTATATCATGAAATATTCCTGCTAAGTTACGATATACATTCCTGGATTATTTCATGAAATATTTCGGAAATATGGGAATGTCCGCTACACAAACCGTACTGAAATATTTCATGAAATATTACGGATATCTTGCAGGAAATATTACTGATATATTGCTTCAAATATTTCGGAAATATTTTCTGAAATATTACTGGTGTATTTCATGAAATATTCCTGCTAAGTTACGATATACATTCCTGGATCATTTCATGACATATTTCGGAAATATGGGAATGTCCGCCACACAAACCGTACTGAAATATTTCATGAAATATTACGGATATCTTACATGAAATATTACTGATATATTGCTTCAAATATTTCGGAAATATTTTCTGAAATATTACTGGTGTATATCATGAAATATTCCTGCTAAGTTACGATATACATTCCTGGATTATTTCATGAAATATTGCGGAAATATGGGATTGTCCGCCACACAAACCGCACTGAAATATTTCATGAAACATTACGGATATCTTACATGACATATTACTGATATATTGCTTCAAATATTTCGGAAATATTTTCTGAAATATTACTGGTGTATATCATGAAATATTCCTGCTAAGTTACGATATACATTCCTGGATTATTTCATGAAATATTTCGGAAATATGGGAATGTCCGCTACACAAACCGTACTGAAATATTTCATGAAATATTACGGATATCTTGCAGGAAATATTACTGATATATTGCTTCAAATATTTCGGAAATATTTTCTGAAATATTACTGGTGTATTTCATGAAATATTCCTGCTAAGTTACGATATACATTCCTGGATCATTTCATGACATATTTCGGAAATATGGGAATGTCCGCCACACAAACCGTACTGAAATATTTCATGAAATATTACGGATATCTTACATGAAATATTACTGATATATTGCTTCAAATATTTCGGAAATATTTTCTGAAATATTACTGGTGTATATCATGAAATATTCCTGCTAAGTTACGATATACATTCCTGGATTATTTCATGAAATATTGCGGAAATATGGGAATGTCCGCCACACAAACCGCACTGAAATATTTCATGAAACATTACGGATATCTTACATGACATATTACTGATATATTGCTTCAAATATTTCGGAAATATTTTCTGAAATATTACTGGTGTATATCATGAAATATTCCTGCTAAGTTACGATATACATTCCTGGATTATTTCATGAAATATTTCGGAAATATGGGAATGTCCGCCACACAAACCGCACTGAAATATTTCATGAAACATTACGGATATCTTACATGACATATTACTGATACATTGCTTCAAATATTTCGGAAATATCCTCGGAAATATTTCTAGTATATTTCATGAAATATTCCTGCTAAGTTATGATATACATTCCTGGATTATTTCATGCAATATTACTGATGTATTGCTTTAAAGATTGTGGGAGTATTTCGTGAAGTATCCCGGAAATATTACATGAAATATTCCTGATATATTTCATGATATTGTTCCGGAATATTTCATGATATACTCCCTGAATATGTCATGAGATATTCCAGAAGTATTGGAAGGAAATATTACTGCTAAATTGCTTCAAAGATTCCGGAAATATTATATCAAATGTTCCGGATATATTTCGTGAAATATTCCTGATATATTTTATGATATTGTTCCGGAATATTTTATGATATACTCACTGAATATTTCATTAGATATTCCAGAAGTATTGGTATGAAATATTACTGCTAAATTGCTTCAAAGATTCCGGAAATATTAGATCAAATGTTCCGGATATATTTCGTGAAATATTCCTGATATATTTCATGATATTGTTCCGGATTATTTCATGATATAGTCCCAGAATATTTGATGAGATATTCCAGAAGTATTGTAAGGAAATATTACTGCTAAATTGCTTCAAAGATTCTAGAAATATTAGATGAAATGTTCCGGATATATTTCATGAAATACTCCTGTAACATTTCCTGAAATATTCCAGCTTAGTTATGATAGAGATTCCTGGATTATTTCATGAAATATTTCGGATATATTTCATAAAATATAACAGTATTGTTCTGCCAAGCTGTCCATGCAGTTTTGTGCTTCCTGATATGAAGGCGTACAGTCACCACTTCACGCACCGTGTTAAAAAAAATATGGAATTGTTTCCGACAACTGTGCTGAAAGAAGAAAACGTTTCATATACATTTCTAAATATTTATTATAAATATTTCCTGATCTATTTCTAAAATATAACGGCAAAAAAGGATTGAAATAATTCACGCTTAGGTTCAAGAAATAAATATGTGTTTCTCATTTATTAATAAATAACTTACTTATATTAATAGTACATGAAAAAGTTAAAATTACAAAGTTTATTCTTCATTCATTGAATTTTCTTCTGCTACATTCTCCTCTAAATCGATGTAATATTTTACATCTCTTCTCCGTTTTTTGGAACCGGCTCTGAAATTTATATATAAAATTATTCATTACAATTCAAATTATAGGTATCTGAAGTACTAGAATTCATTATATTATAGCACTATGTATCCTAAATCTGCACATAGGCCGCGCTTGAGCATGCCCCAAGGCGTTCTAATATTAATGGCATCACGGTGGCATAACCGACAAAAAATAGCATATAAAATGGAATTCATCAAAATGTATTTATAGGACTGAAATTCAAAAAATAAAGCTACTGACGCACATAGATAATCAATAAATGTTTCCGAAAAGTTTAAAAATGATTACAATAGTACTCTTTAATTAAAGGTTGGCATAAACTACTTGGAGGGCATATTCTCATTACGAGGAGTGGTTTGGAGCACATTGCAAATAATTTTCGAGGACCGAATATCGAACAGATAAGCACGAATAAACGTAACTTCTGGTAAAATTCTTAATTTTTACCCATGGTCTTATTTTAAAACCGCTTAAAAGAGCTATCGCATGATCAATTTGGACAAATCTAGCGCGAACTATTCCACTTTCAAACATACTATATTTTTTAGATACGCAAAAATGAGTGTATTTAATATCGGATATCTATGAAAAAGGTAATTTTGAAATTGGAAATCACGCGTGGAACATGAAAATTGCTTTAAGGCAATGGTGAACCCTCAGGGAAGATTACATTATTAACGTTTTGTCGGTAATCAGTCTTTCTGTACACAAGAGAACTACTTAGGTGACCCGTAAAGTAATATACTATGTAATACTTACGCTTCAGTGTCTGATTCCCTCTTGAGTCTTGTGCCAGACTGATCTAACCAGCTACTGATTCTTGAACGAATCTCTTCGTCCTGTGATGATGGAAATAGATGACGCACTGATTCTAAAAGAATATATTTCTATATAATTCAGAAAATCAATGAGAAATAATCCGTGTATAATACTCACTGTATATAACTGTGCACAACGGCAAATCTTTAAATGCATGCTTCTTCTTGTGCCCTACATAGCTGTATTTGTTTGCTACCTTATTAGTCATAGCAGCGGGTAGAATATTGTAAATAAACCTATGTATGTCAGCGCCTCCTTTGCTTTTAAAAAAATGTACCTGGAATTCAAAGGGAATCAATTCATTTATCTAACGGTTAAAATCTGATTATTAGTGAATGAATGTGATGCGACTAAATGAGTTCGATAAGAGTCAACTCAACTATAGGGATACCAAGCTAGGAATAAGTCATACCATGAATATATAGTAGTTCAATAAATAATACAAATAGTACAAATTAAAAACCAACTCACAGCATAATAAAAATAATAATGCTAAAGTTATTTTAGCCATACTATCTATTGAGGTCAGTATACCTAATATCAAACTGTACCCAATATCGGACTTTTTTCAAAACTCAAATATTCGCGCTCTAACGCCCTTTAATGGGTTACCATTATGTTAGTAGTATAAATTAATTAAGATTCCACGATTTGCTTCGAAACGCCAATTCCGTTTTTTAAGAAGAGTTTCATGTCCCGTATAGCAACATATTTTTAATTTAAAATTTGCTACGAGTAAGTATGTGTTATTTAAGTTATGCTATTATTTCTAAACATAAAACTATATAATACCATTGGATTTGTAATTTCTTGCTCTTTGCAAGGCGCTTTACTACATTTGAGGGGCGGGGACACGTGAAATTTCAGCCTACCTTTATAAATGACTTAGGGGGCTGAAAATAATATGTATAATATAGTATTTCCCGACAAATTCAATAGTGCTATCAAAAATAAAAAAAAATTCTTTTAGCATTTTTTTAATTTTTTTTTGTTATATATATATATATATATATATGGGCGATTTCACGTCGGTTCACCGGATCAAAATTTTTGGCAGCAATTTCAAAATTTCAATTTTTGAAATTTTTGAAAACTTGTATAACTTCATGAATTTTTTTGAGTAGGAAGGAATCATGTTAGGTATATACATATATACATCAAATAACATGTACTTTTCACGTAGATTATGAAAATAATATTAGTTTTTCAAAATAACCATTTTGAAAAAATGTATATACAAATATATATATATATATATATATATATATACACCAAAAAGTCAAAGAGCGACAAGGTTTAGATCAAATTTTATTCCATCAAAATGTATCTTATTCCAGTAGCTTCCGAAAGAAAATCCCTTTACTTCTATATATTTAAGAAGCAAATATTATAAAAAAATCACATCATTTTATATATAATATGATGTAGTTGCCCCAAAATAAATAAAAAATAAAGTGGTACATGTTTTCGATGTATTTTTCCCCGTAGAATACGATGGTGTTATTAGTTTTTGAATACGACTTACCTAGAAAGCTATAATAGCAAATAACCTCTAAAAATCTTTGAAAAATCTTGTTTTTAGCTTCTAGCGCTTTTTCGGTAAACTTTATGATAAAACCAATAACACCGTTGTGTTCTACGTGGAAAAATACATTAAAAACATATCCTATATGTTGAAAAACATATTATTTAACACTGGCATTTGAACAGAAATAATAGTTATTTTAGTAGCCCAATTACCGCGTGTAGGGCAATATATTAATAGCTAATTTGGCAAAGAACTACCTACAGACATATCTAATTATTTTCTAATAAATGATATATGTTTTCAATGTATTTTTCCACGTAGAACACTATGGTATTATTGGTTTGATCATAAAGTTTACCGAAAAAGCGCTAGAAGCTAAAAACAAGATTTTTCAAAGATTTTTAGAGGATTTTTACTATTCTTACTTCCTAAGTAAGTCGTATTCAAAAACTAATAACACTATCGTAATCTACGGGAAAAAATACATCGAAAACATGTACCACTTTGTTATTGTTTATTTATTGTGGGGGAACTACATCAAATTATATATGAGATAATGTGATTTTTTTTATATTTGCGTGTTAAATATTGTTATGATGCGGAAATGGCATCATAATTTGGCCACGATATCCCCTGCCGACGATGTATAATCGCTGACTCCGCGTACTTTCCTAGCCGGCGGATGCTAGCTAGCATTTGAGCGTAGCAGCCGATCTCGAGTTGACCCAACAAGCGAGCGCCCTCTCACCTCGCACATACACTCACACCGGTATAACCCGCTACTCTAAGGTCGCGTATAAACACACTGACACGCAGACTACGCGGTACCTTCAGAAGCGAACGAGCAGCAGACGACGCAGCATGCGGAGCTGAGCAGCTTGATGACCACGGAGCATAGAAAATCCATAAAGTGGCGACGAGCATACTATAGCGAGAGAGACCACGCACGGTAGATGACGCTCGATACCATTCGCACGGATCTGCGTTCGATTACCGACCGCTCCATAGACGTATGATAAATGTATTGGATTTCGAGATTCGCGCGCTACGATCTACTAATCAAATAATTTCGGTTATACGGGACTATTACTCGGTTCTAACTGATCAACCAAAACTGGGGAATTATGGGGGATGTGATGACGTAGTACTGAATTATTTCGCTGATAACATTTTTGACTAATGACTGATTTTCTCTCCGCGACCAATCACCAAATTTAACACAAAATTAAAAAGAGACAGACGACGAGCTGCACGAAGAAGACGTATCGGCTCATCCATATTGCCGCCTGTTGTATCAGTGATAGGACGTATTTCTTGTGCTTGAACATAGTTTCAATATTGTGTGAATACTAGTTTGTTCGGACGAAATATACTTGCTAGAGATTATTGCTGGAGGGACGAGATATTGATCTTCGCACTCTATCACGCTGTAAGTACACTATTGACAGATCTGACGTTATTCGCGACGCGACTCCGACAGTCATGTGTCAACGCTGACCGGCATTTACCGACCCGCGACCTTGTCTAAAGCGATCCTCCGCGAACTACGCGTCTGACTATTACGCCGGAAAAACTTTCATGGTAGACCGATGTAGAAGTGAAATACTCATCCTGACCCAACTTTTCTCACGGATGTTCTGGGCTTGACCTTGAACGCGTCGTGCATCTTGCACATTCATCTTCGACTACAAATTCAACTTTGCTTTAGCGACACCTTGGAAACTGTTTGGAATAAATCGACTCAATTTTTTTTTAATTACTCTCTGAATTTGCGATATCTTGACTACGTTCCTATCCCTTGGCACGCCGTCATCACTTTCAATTTCAGCCGCGGGCGCGACACTTATATAAATATTGACCACCGGGCTACCTGAAGCATTAAGTCATTTACAGTATTTTGCATCTGAGAATTTATTTGAGACGATACGTTGCATCGCAATCTGATACCACCGCAGGCGGAAAAATTAAATGTCCATCTAGCGTAGCTCGATTCTTATTAGTCGTTTTATGCAACATATCTCTGAACCGACTCCTGACGCCGAAACCTCGCCATCTTGTTTCGCTCAGCCAATCAGACAACGAGGAAGCTCTCTGCCACTCGACCTACCGCTAGCCCAGCATCTGTGGACCGACCGCCGTCTAATAGCTCTAACACATTCACACGTCGTGGTACGATTTTCCTCCGGTAGCCTCCGAGCTACCTGGCGCTCTACTACAAACTCGGGGAAAATTTGACGGTCGCCCGTAAGTATCGCTAATTCCGGCGCTGATATTGCCCGTAACTTTTCGCACGTTTAGCTGACCCTTACAATCTATAGAAGGAAAAGGATACCCATTATTTGGTTATAAAATTTAATCTAAACTTTGTCGCTCTTTGACTTTTTGGTAAATGTATATATATTTATATATATATATATTTTTTTTCATGATGTGTATTTTTAAAAACTAATATTATTTTAATAATCTACGTCGAAGTTTAAAGTGACAATTTTGAAAATTCTGCCAAAAATTCAATTATGAGTTTAAAAATCGGGAAAAATTAGGGATATTCTGCATAAGCAGTACTTTCGATTGGTACAAAATATCACATTTTTTTTCGACTTGACGTGAAATTATTGCTACATTTTCAAGAACTTAGCGAATGGGCTTTTGGAAATATTGATTTCTTCCACGAAAAAAAAATTAAAAATGTCAAAAGAATTTTTTTAACAATTTGATAGCAACATTGGATTTAGCGCGAAATACTACATTATCGATTCTAATTTCATCTCCCTACGACTTTTTTTCAAAGGTAGGCTGAAATTTCACTCCCCCCCCCACCTAAGATAATATATAAATTATTCAAATGCCAGCCTGATTACTGTTCATGCTCAAAAGTACCCAATATCGTACATTTCCAAACCTTAATATCAACATCGAATAAAAAGTTTAAATATTATGTATTCAGCCATCTGTTACTTACTTCATATTTTTTTTTCATTAGTTAGTTAAACTTTGTCAAATTCTTTATAAAACGAAAGAATAATAAATTATGACATCTCAATCTGTAACATTTTACCTGTTAAGTTTTGATTTAGAACTTTGAAAACGCATTTTACAGAAAGTCCGATATTAGGTACACTGGCTCAAATTCGGAAAAAAGTAGATCGATTAAAAATTGCTGTAACTTCTGACAAAAAGCAATTTCCTGGTCGTGTGAGGGCTGATTTGAAAGCTTTTGATAGCAGCTTTTAAATAAAGCCACTCTTGATTGAAAATTTGCTTCGAATCAAAAGTTAAGTCCGTCCGCGCTTAGTAGTCCGATATGGAGTACAGGTACCTTAGTTTATGCTACTTGAAGAAGTTTTTGTATAAAACTAGTATATCGACTTGCAGAGAATGGTCTCTATATATTAAAGTTTATCTATTATAACGTAAAAATGCATCTACAGTATTTCCAGTTAATAACATAGAATGTCAATTCAAATAAAGTTTATGAAAATTAATGCACGTAATTTTAAAAGCAGTTTTCATCTAATTGTCACCATTTTGTTATGGAATGGAAAATAAATCTGTGCATGTGCGCAAGTCATAATTGCACCCAAACATGCTAAAATAGTACATTAGTCACCAAAGAAGTATAATAAGCACTGTACGCAATGCTTGACGTGTTCATATCATGCACTTCTTGCATGTCAACTATACTCCCGTGTTTTATACTTAAAAATTAAATATTTAAATTATCAATTA